TACAATAGGATGAGTGACCTGCCTTTATTATCTTAACTGGATTTTGTCGTAGATCTTTAATTGATGCAGTTGCATAATATCTATCTTATCTAAATCATCTCAAAACTCTATAATTCATACTCTTTCTCTTTACTGCAGATTATAGCATTAATGAAGTTTTAAGCATTAAAATCATTAAGTTGTAGATAGCACAGTATCAAAGGTGAGTCGTTTGAACCTTTAGGCATATGAAAGTCGTTTAGGTCAATCCAACGAATTCACTATGGACAGTGATCCGTAACATTATTTTTTATTTAGTATAAAGTATTGTCTAATTTGTCAAACGATTTCATGAACAATTTTATAGTATTCTTTCTCTCGCTTGCCAGACTCGCTCAATGTTCAGCTGTTTAATATATGTTTGTCTGTCTCTTACTGTTCAGAAACTGCTAAACCTATCAATATGAAAAACGACAAAAAAAAACAATAAGTAGCTAAAAAGTGTCCGGTTTTTAATCAATATTCCACAATTGTTAGGCTTGCACTACACTAACTTGTAACATATGCGCGTGCGCCGATCATAATTTGAGGTCATTGACACACAGGGTACACAATAAAAAGGTGGCGCTAACGACTCGTGAAAAGAAATGCTCGTATAGTTTAGGAGATTTTTTATGAAATGTGTAATTTTGGTGCACGCACTCGTGTGTTACTAAGCTATATTTCATTACTTGAAACTTAAATGGATAGGTATGTCGTGAGTTACACGAACGGTTACGAGTTCATGATTTTTTTTTACATTTATACATATTATATATATGTTTAATAAAATAGTATATAACAAAGTGCCTATATACAAAGTTACCTATAAAAAGAAGTTGCCGGCACTATTTGTACGCTTAGTTAGATCTTTTAAATTACGCATCGGATTTTAAAACAGTTTTCAGTAATTGATACCTACAGGGATTCAATAAAAAGGTTTCTACGTATAGATAGCAGCTACAAAAATTTAAATATTTGCAATGCACCCATTCGAATCCAGGGCAGATCGGCTAGTATATATAATAAAGTCCCTGCCGCATCTGTTTGTATTTGCGGTGATAATCTCAAAAACTAGGAAACGAATTCATGCGGTTTTCATCTACCAACAGAGTGAATCCTTTAGTAACATTTAGGTGTATAATTCTTTAAGATTAATATATCCGTGCGAAACCGGGGCAGTTCTCTAGTGTACTATAATTCAGAATAAATTCATGTCTGACTGTAGAATAGATCATATCACAGAAACTTCATGATAATGGTCTATTATTACTGGAATCATTTCATGTTAAACGTTTGTTGGTTGGTTTATAGACGTGTGCCCACATCATTAATGCATGGTGGCCATGCATTGCACTGCATTTTTACACTATCTATTCAATTTGAATAATTAAATGAATTCGTGATTTGGAATATGTATTATTAAAAGTGTATTGTCTTGTAGTTTAAGGATATGGTAATGAATTGCAATCAAATCAAATCAAAATATCTATATTCGTGAAGATCTATTACAGAGTCTTTTGATATTTCAAATCTTAATAACTCTTACGATGCCTGTAAGAACTTGGAATTAGATAAACCCGCAAGTCTGTAATTCTTTTTTTAATGAGTAATGAGGGCTAGCTGAATAGCAGTACTGTATAGTTGCACCTCATTGAGGTTGTGCTTATATCAGCAACAGTAGAGGCTGCTCCTATTGACGAGAGTTTATGGCAATAGTTGTTCATGTACGGCATTTTCATTTAATGTTAGACATATACACCTACATAAGTACACAATGTAAATAAGGTGTTTTTAAAAAAAAAACAAAGTTTCTTGGCAGTTCTCAATTGAATCTGTATACTGAACTGGACGGTTAGGAAATAATATAATATAAAAAAATGACTTTCATAAGCGTCTAAAATGTCCTAGAATAAATGATTTTTGATTAAAGTTTCATTTGTTTGCCAACTTTGTATGTTTTTTTTTTGGTATATTCTTTGTAATTTGTTAATGCTAGCAATAAAAATTTTATTTATCTATCCTATATTTTATTTATATTCAATGGGAAATAAACTGAAGGTCTACAATATGGTTAGTGGTAACCATGACCTATATACCTGAACAGCACTTTTTTTATTTTTGAACTAATATTTTTTTTTTATTATGAATTGGCATTAAAAATACATACAACCCTTAAGTTTTACCTTTCTACCACCAAACCATATTTTTATTAGTGCATATCATTATTAAAAAATAGGGGTAGATACGTAAATTTATATGACAAGACAAAGATTGTCGGGACAGCTAGTATTAATATATATCTCACAATTCATATATTTATATCAACGTCCAAATGACTTGGTCCGCAACAGTGCAATGATATCCATGCCTCTAGAGTGGACAATCTGATTATGACGTCATCCTGTAATTAACTGCCTCATCACCCTTCAATCGAAACAGCTTACAAAGCAAACTGCAGCAGGCAACTTTAAACAAAGTGTACCTCGGTAAAATATTTGGTACATAAGGATAATTGGTTTGGAAATGACGTACTGGATGTCTAGACAAAAGGCAAACAAATCGATCGCTACCGACTGCATAGTATAGAACGAGAGGGCAATATACATATAAATTCATTTGTCCTGAAAAACAGACAAAAAAATTCAAACTGACATATCACAATATAAACATCAGTTTGAATTTTTTTGACTACTCTAATGCTGTTGGCCTTAGCTAGCCTTTACAGCTTCACCGGACGATAAGGGGCGAGTGCAGATGCCGCTCCAAACCTGGGAAGGGACTTGTGCAGCGGCTGAAGGCCAACTGCCGCCTGACGGATACGACTTTAGTCTGAGGGCACCGCTAGGGTTTTGAACCTCGGCTCAGGCCGTCGTAATTTTGATCTCCGGAGGGGTTGAAACTTGAAATTTTTATATTCAGGAAATTTGCTATTCCAATTTTATATAACGGCTCCAACCTGTACATGAAATGACCTTGTTGGTCTATCGGTTTAGTAGATCAGCGGTTTATACCGCCTTACTTCCGATGGTCACGGGTTTGATTCCTTGCATAGTATAAACATTTATACTCACGAGTATATTTTGTATTGGTATGTGTGTTTCATATGTATTTGAAAAAATATTAATATATTTAATACATTCTTTAGTACTCATAACACAAGCTCTGCTTACCTTGGAACTAAGTGGAGATGAAAGGTCGTAAGTTTTTAATTTTATTATAAATATGTAACATTTATATTTCCAATGTACCTATAGGACCCTAATAATCCTCTCTCATAATTTATAACCAGACAATTAATTACCATAGTCATCAATATACACTTTTTACAACGCCTTTTATACCAATGCTTCTGAAGATCACAATGTTTATTCTAAAGTTGGCAGCCATTATGACTGGTTACTATTCAAGTGTTTTTACAAGCTCTACACATATGTCTATAGCCTCACTTTAATTTTATAGTAGACCTTAACCAGTCATTTTGACCCTCATAATCTACTACAGTAGATTCATATTAGGATCAGATAATACTGGTGAGATACGTCAGAAATCTACGGTCCCTGACTAAAATAAACACTTATGTGTGAGTGAATGACGTGTGTATACACCTTTATGTATATCATTGGCTTTATTGAATTATTCTTGTATATATATTTGTATAAATAGTATTGCTACTAGTTTCCGAACAATTTCTATCAGGAAAATAAAAAAAAATCTCTTCTGAAAGAGTGCTTTATACTGTTAGTAATGATGGTTATAGAACTCTACATTCAACGAGTGTATGTAACTGTATATGTAAAGTATTGCATGTATAAAGTGTATAAATAATAAATTAATTAATAAATTTAAAGTAGATAATCTTTAATAAAAAAAATCTAATAAATTGTAGCCAAGAATAATCCCGATCACATCTACTTTCAAACAAAGAAAACCGCATCAGAATCAGCCGATTGGTTTGGATGCCACAAACAGACATACGTGAAACATATAAAAACAATATTTTTTAAGATACTTTCTTACAAATGGCAAACAATTAATAAATATATGAAAAAAAAACATACTTATTAAGATTACGGTTACTTCTTGATATTAAAATGGTTACAACATGATAACGATGTGGTGACTGACATTCACAATACAACAACTGTAAACCAAGCTACTTTTCAATTTATATGACAGAGGAATACGCGCAGAGTACTAAAAATTCAACTTCTAAATCTGATCAAAATTTCTACTAAAATTACTGAGTTTCAAGATCATTTTTAGGTTTTTTAATTTTTTTATGGATGGTAATGGAATGGTGCACCCGCCTGCGCGGTTTATGCTGACAGGGTACCAGTGGAAGATTATACGATGAGCATGAGGTCAGATTAGTTAGCTCATCGTGACAAATTCACTAAGAATTCATCATGATGGTTTCCCGGGGGAACTGCGTGGAGGTCAACCTGGCATGGAACATTGCTCAAATAAGATCATCAGTCCACATTACTAACAATCCGCTGTCCCCCATCATTTTAGGTTCCAAATTCATTTCAGAAAAACCTTTTAAAACTAAAGATTGGTACCATAAACCCAATCTGAATATTAACAAAATTCTAATTGCAAAATAAACGATCAGCTACAAGCACATAACTTGTCCTTTGCGTTCACAGTTTGCTCGTATAATGCCTCTTTTCTGAGACACTTGTAATAGGGCGCCATCTTGTGCCTCACTACTTTTGAAAAACCGGAAATGACAACATAATATCCACAGCCTACTCGCATTGTATATTATAGACATGTATGAATAATCCACAGTTAAATAAAAAAATCTCCCTTTTCAATTTATTTAAAAAATAAGAAATGAACACAAAATTTTTTTGGTCAAACAACTGAATCAGCGATTATACTCACTCAATTTGTAGCGGTCTATAGAAATGAGTCGTCGACCCCTGAAAGGTTTGGCTGCATATTAAATTTTACGTCGCTTTTTTTTGTTACAGGTAAATCTTCGTATTGTTCGCGTTGTGAGAATGTGATTAATTTGGTGAGTAATTCTTCGCTTACGTCTTTGTTGTTCCACTTTAAAAAGTGACGTGTGTATGTAAATATTTGCTGGTAATTTTATTACGCCAAATGGTAAATACTTAGATTTAACTTGTATTGTTTTTATTTACCGTGGAGGGTATCGTGTGAATGAAATTAAACGATTAATCAAAGCTTTGCTCCAACACCAACCCGAGGTTTAACTGCAATTTTATAAATATAATTTTGGAAGATTTTTAGGTATGATATACTTACAGTTGTAGTACAGTTAAAATTTGTGTTGATTTCCGCAACTGAAACAAATTCTTTGAACTTTAACTAACACGTAAATAATATAAGAAGTAAAAGTAGGAAATTAACAAAATAAATTTAACGGTCATTTTTTTTTATTTTTTTATTATCTGTCTTTGAATCAATTATATATATAATTTAGATTTTTTAATTTACTTGAAAAAACATTGGGACCATTCTAAAGTCATTGAAATTTACTACTACTCACAGTGTAATTGGGATTAATTCAACGGAAAGCATATTTGGTTTTGTTCCCAGTGCAACTATGTACGCTCTGCTACTAGTCAATATAGAAATCGACAAAAAACAAGTATTAGAGATATATTCAAATTAAAAAATAACTTATTCATATAGGCCATTTTAGTTGTTTATGCAAGTAAAGTTTTTTTGTATTAATATTACTTACTTTTTATATTATATTTACATTAATATCAACGACCTACATACATATATATCCTTATCAACATAATTAGTAACTTTCGCAACTTTTAAATCATATATTTTCAGTAGATACAAAGTGTTCAGCTCCATTTTTGGTTGTTAGTCATGCTAATCAACTGGCGGGGTCTTTGTCAGTTTTCGTCAACCGTTTTTCTTGAGCTGTTCGTTTGAAAATTTGGGTTAATGGGGCAGCGAGCGTGTCCAAATGTTAGTTGCATCTGTTAATCAGTATCGATTTCTCTTCTTGGAATTTTCTATTTCTATTTGCTTTGTTTCGGAACCGTTTTGTTAAAATTTACCTCGCTTGTTAATTCATTAAGAATTTTATAGTTCTTGATCGAATGGTCTTGTTATTTATAATTGACAACCAAGTCAAAATAGGTGTCTAATCAATTGACATTAAGTGTAAGATCACGTATTATATATTAAATATTTTAAGTAGTATTCAATCAATATTTTTTATTACAATTCATGAGATGATATTCTGCGTTCAGCTGGAATATATGTTGATAAATAAAACAAAGTTTTTCACGCATTTCCTGTCAAATTAATGTATAAACATATATTTATATAGTATAAAATGAAGTCGCTTCCGAAGCCTGTTTGCTTAAATCTTTAATCTACGCCACGGATTTTAATGCAGTTTTTAGCAAGTGGTAAAGTGATTCAAGAGCAATTCTTATCTGTATAATACATGTATATTCGTGCGACGCCGGGGCGGGTAACTAGTATTATAATAATCTACTAATAGAATAACGTAAAACTTCTGTTACCATTTACGCATGTCGTGGCTACCAGTAATTAAGTCAACACTATATACCTGAACTTCTTGCAAGTGATAATAATTGTAAATTCATAATGTAGGTATGTCTTGTTGATTGCTCAAATATATAAATTAAATAAAAAAACTACAATATGCATGCATATATAATATAATAAATGAAGCATGATGGTATCTAATTAACAAAATAAATTGAACTTACCTTTTGGGTATAAAATTTCCTTATTAGCGCCTGCCATGAAAGCGAAATAGCATTCGGACCACTTTCTTTTCTACGTTCTCGTGTTTAAATGTTACATGAAGTCGATTACTGTTGGAAAACCTAAATAGTTACAGCAATTACGGCCGCCTACAAATGTTTGGTTTAACTGATTTCATATCACGATAACACTGTAAGAATATTTCATTGTTAAGAATAGTAACTGTCGTATTTTTTGTTTTTTATTATTTTGTAATTAAACAATGTTTTGTTATTAGGACCTACAAAACAGAAAGTACTCAATTTATCGAGGAACCTTTCCGAGGTAATAAAATGACAATTTTTAAGCGTCGTGGTGGTGGGTAGACAATAAAAAGTCGTGTACGTGGGTACCTCGGTCTCATCTCTTTCAACCACTAAGCAATCAGTTCTGCAAGATGAGTCGGGATGGTGAAGTACGGCAGTTAAATTACACGTGAGAGGCATGATATCTCAGTCCTCTGGTATGATAACTTATAAATGCTATCATAGATGTCTTATCTACAGATACATAACAAAACATGAAATATATTTTTTTTATTATGGTTGCGGGTTCGATTCCTCGCACGGCACAAACATTTGTATTCATGAGTATGATTGTTTGTATTGGTCTGAGTGTTTTCATGTATAATATTTATGTATTTCTGAAAAATATCATGTATTTGTATCGGTTATCTAGGACCCATAATACAAGCTTTAGCTGGCTTAACTTGGTTCTAGATGGCGCTGTATGAATTGTTCCGAGATTATTTATTATAATACCAGTCCTAGCATAATACCAAAATATATTGTAAATCATCTTTATTACGATTTTATGCTATTATGCAATGTTTTAGCATAAAAAATCTGTAACTTTCTCATTGCATAAACCTATTTTTGGACCATAACAGCCCACGATCGTCCCACTGCGGGGCACGGATATTGTATCCCCTTATAAAGAGGACATTAGCCTACTATTAGATACCACGCCGACGTAATTGTTGAGTACAGGGCTATATTTCTATCTCCTTAAAATTATGTATATTAGTATTGAAATATTTTGTAGTGTTTAAATTTTCAATAATCAGAATGTTTAATTTTGCTATTATATTCTGATGACTTCTTAGGTGAAAAATATATGTCGTCTGCATGAGTATCTCAATTTACTCCTGTACCACGTTACTCCTGTCACCAAGCTACTTGGTTTGTAAGCTGTATTTGGATTATTTGGATTATATGGCAGAGAAATTATAAGATAGGGGAGGCATAACATCTTAGTCCTTCAATGGCAACGCATGAAGGGTACATTATGACTTACTACTGGTGGGCCATCAACCGTTGAGTAGAAAAAGTATAGGATTGGAGGAGGACAGTAATATCTTTAATCTCTTTAATCTTAAGATACATTTAAGCTTTGTTGTTAATACAATACGGATCTGTTACATATACTTATATTTTCCTAAAATAAATGTACTAGTTGAGTTTCTTGTCAGTTCTTCTTAACTTAAGTAGCTAGCCGAATTGAACGGTAGGGTTATTGATAAAAAATAGAACGGGCACGGAGGCCGAAAGATCCTATCCTATGTATAGGATTATATCCTATGTGTAGGATCCTATCCTATATAAAGCTGTCCTACTTTTTAGCACACAGTAACATAATTTTAATATTAAGTTTTTGTTGTTTTTGAATAATACATTTTTTGAGTTTGTTTGAGTTTGATTTTTTATATTTACGAAGACGACTGTACTTCCTGACCTATTCGTCTGATTCTTCCTTATTCCATTTATTTGGGTTGGCGCAATATGTTTTTTTCTTCCATTCATCTCTATTCGCAGTCGTCTTGTTATCCATTCTCCTTAAGGATAACATTTTTAGAAACTTGGAATGTCATAGTTATTAATATTTAATCCTAAAAAGTAAATTTCAGGCTTCTAGCTTTAAAGATGACGATACTTCCATACAACCTTTCATCTTCCCTTTCAACCCTTAAACAAACCTTTTTCGCATTAAAAAGAACCTATATCCTTTCTAAGGGTGTAGACTATCTGTGTACCAAATTTCATTTAAATCGGTTCAGTACTTATGGCGTAAAAGCGCGACAAACAAACAGACAGACTTTTACTACTTACTCATTTATAATATGCCAACTGTACCTCCTGGCCTGTTTGAAAATTATTTAATTCGCTAGTATAAAAATATTTACTCTCTTCCCTCGTATTACACACGCAAATCATTATTTGAACGTCTTAATGGACGTAACTGAACATTGTACAAGCCACCTCTATAAATAAAACTAATGTACTAGGACTACCCTACTAGGATTCTCTTAGCATTGCCCGTCGACTTTTTCAATCGATTGTTTTTTTATCGAGTCTAATTCGAGATGTGGACACGATTAACCCGTTACATTTTGACGTTTTGTTCGTGTTACCACCTATTATCATAGATACCTGTTCGATGGGAACTAGTGGTTAGTATTATTGAATCATTCGATCGATTTACTATCGTGTTTTTAATTAATTGGTTTTGATACCGAAGTGAGGCCTATCGTAACGGATCACTGTATGCTGTGACGTGTAATTTATGTTAAAATTATAATTAAATTTAAGAGAGTTTAATCTGTATTTATATTATAAATACGAAAATGATATCTGACTGTTTATTACGTTTCAAATAATTGTTTCTGTTTAATTAACTTTGTTTTTGAGCAGCTGATCCTAGTGGGTCGACTTAGCATCGCAATCTTTTTTTTTATTACGATTCAGTAGGCTGACATGCGTCTAATATTTTTTATTCAGCCTTATAATTTCTTATAGCGTTAATAAGAGATTTGTATTTATCTTATGAACTCTTGTGTAAGATGACATATGCATTTTCGTATTTATTATTATAAATAGATATATATAACACAAAAAAAAAAATCTATCTGTCCGACTATTTATTATAAAATTAAATTTATTATAAATTTTATTTTTTTTAAATAAATTTTGATCAGCTGATCTAAAAGATCAGATTGGAGTTGTTTGGGTCAAATATTTTAATGTTTCTATAGATATTAATGACGTTTTATTAATAATATAATTTATAGATCCAATTCAAGTTTTATTACGCATTTATTTCTTACCAATTTATCGGTAGTAAATATTTAATAAGTCACTTTTGCCATTACTCTTTAGTATCAGACATAAATTTTATTTAATGATTGACAATAAAGTACTTCAGCGTTTGCCTTTCGAAAGCGGATTAGAAGGTCCTAGGGTCAACTTAGCA